TTTCTGGAGCTGGACGTGTATCTGCAGATAATTTAAGCCTGTTGAATTGTCACCTTCACAGCATAGTGAGGCTTTTGCTTTCTCCTCGGACTACTTATATTTTTCTCTTCCAGCATTATTTTCTTGTGAAACACATGTTTATTCAGTAAGAATTAACACCAGTTTTCTTGGAGCCAAGTAAGCCATAAACACCTCTTAAATCTGCTTTAACTGCTATGGGATTTTTTTGTTTGTTTGTTATTGTAAGGTACACTCAGGTAGGTGGCCATTGGCTGGAGAAAGGGCAGGAGCTTCAAGGAGGGTCTTTCAATTTGGTGCAAAAGTTAGGAATTCTCAGGAAAATCGCATCCCGTTGACACAGATTGTGCAAGGCAAGTTAAATTGCTTGGGCCATTAAGCAGCCATATTCTTGCTGGCCGTTACTTTCTACAGAAAAAGGCAGAAGGGTTATGTTTTCTACTCTTCTGCCAACAGTTCTCTGACAAACCTTTGTTCCTCAAATTGGTGTCATTTTTTCCTCCTGCGAAAAAGTCTCTGCTCTGGTGTGCCAGCTTGTGTGGCTGGTTCACAAAGACAGCCTGATTATTTGGGAATAGTTATTGGAAAAAGAAAATTTCACATTGAACTGATTAAGGTAGAAGTAGCTCATGAAACAGGGTCATTATCCTTAATAAGGGATGAGAAGTTTTTTGTTTAGTTTTTGTTTTTACAGCTCTACTAGTTAACTCTGGCTTCTCTGGAGATGCTACTAAGGAGTTTGTCAGTGCTGGGCTTTACTGTAATGTTTTCTAGGTGGAAAAGCCCAAGGAATAAGCTGCATTTTGGGGGCAGGAGGGGAAAGGAAAACTTTAACTGGGAAAAAGCAGCATTTAGCATTAATTTCTGTGGAGGATTATAGTTGCCCCTTAAAAACTTACTGTGCGTTGCTTGAGACTGTCTGAAGTAGCAAGCAAATATCCTTGCTGAAGGCGCTATTTTCAGTGCCGCAGCAACAGATGTAACCAGTTTATTTTGTTTGGGTACACTAATTTTTCATGTGTTTCTCAAAAGCTGCAGTTTGTGGTGACTGCATAAACTCACAAGTCCCCTAGTGACTCAGCTAGCAGGTAAGATTTGGGGTTGCTGTTGAGCTTGCCAAGTGATGTTTCTCCCATTTTAATTGTCACCAAAGACTTTATCCTAAGTAGACTTTAAATGTTCGAAGGTGCGTGGGCAAAGATCTTTCCCAGTGAAACACTCCTGCCTCCCTTTCAAGGGAAGACCAAGACCAAGCAAGCTACTGATGTACACTCTTATAAATAATTCGGTTGCAATTACTAATAATGCTTTATTAAAGCTAAATCAAAAGTCTTGTGTGTGTCTTCACAATGCATCGTCTTTTCTACTTAGCACTGAAGATCAGTAAAATTATTTTCAGTCTTGTTGGTTTTAATCTAGGCTGTGTGCAGCAGCGTTTGGGGTTCGTGACTCTTCTTTGGCCAGTCTGCTTGAGTCTAAGGCGAAGCTCCTGGGGCAGCAGACTTGGCAGAAATCAGCATGGGTGACTTGAACAGCCCAAGGAGAGGCAGTTGTTTCTTCTGTGCACTACTTGCTATCTCAGGATGATCTGCAGTTCCTAGGAGACTATTTGTTTGCAAGCAGTGAGAGCCCAGGTGTAGGTATGTGGAGCTTAAAAATAGGAGAGGGATTAGAGCAACTGATAGTAGGAGAAACCTACTTTTCCTTAATTTAAGTATAGCTAATAGTAAGGATGTTTGCATTAAACTGAGGAGAACAACACCTGTGTGTGAAAGTGGTAGTTTAACAAGTTGGATTCCAACTAGCCGTGGTTTTGCTGTTTTATTTTCACTTTGTGTCTTATGATGCTAAATGATCAATTTGGCACAATAAAGCAACTTGTGAGATAAGGATGGCATAAATAATGGAGTCTTAATGGATATTATCCCGGTAAATCGTTATACTGAATAAGGCACATTAATGGTGAGGTGAGTGCAGAATGCCAAAACATGTTGGTAGGCAATATTAGACTGAATTTTAAAGCATTTTATGAAATGCAATAGTATGACTTTAATAGCAGCTGCATTCAAAGCAGAATGAAGGTTAATACAAAATTCTGGCTATTTGAGGGATGGCCCTGATCATCCCCAAGGGGAGGACAAGTGATGGTTGGGTATAGTTACAGAGCTGTAGTGTTGGGAAGTGAGCTTTTTCAGGGCTGAGGATTTTAGGAAGAGGTGAACCCTTACTGCAGTGGCAGTTAAAAAGAAATTGCCAGACTATGGTTTAGGTTTCTGCTGAAGACCTGGCAGCATGTTATTGACTAATGCTTCATAGACTCTCCATCAGTTTAAATTGTGCTCTGAAACAAATGTGGTTCCCCTCTCTAGCAAAATGAATGTGATCAAATATTGCCCCAATCTCATACCTGAGAAGAAATTACTTTTGCTGCTAGATTTCATTTTCATTCTCAAAACTGATTTATGCGTCTTGGTGAGCTAATAACTTCAGTAATGTGAGTAATTCTTTATCTGAAAATTGCACTGGGTAAGGTGAAAATTTGGAGTTACAGGAGGGGGAAAGAGCAGGAGCGGCTCTGTCTCTTTTGGGGGTGGGGGAAGGAGTGGATCCAGATGCCTCGGTAGTTGGAGTCCACCTCTGGGCACCCTTCCTATGAATTACCCTTGTACAAATCTCTCTCACTGGTTCCAGTTTGTAAATGGAAAGTATGGAGGACTGGGGTGAGGAGAAGTCAAAATTAATAACTTAATTTTGGTGGGGGCAGGTTTGAGGCTAAGAGTTTCTTTTGCCCGCTTTATAAATTTCAGATTATTTTAAGTATCTCTATATCAGTGTTTATGGTGAAACTTCTGTCCCGATTGCTTTGCCCTTTCCTTTGTGTCTTGACTTTTCCTTCCCATTGGATTTATTTGTGCCATCGAGGCCAGCTTCAACATCAAAAAGCTGCTTTAAGTGTGTTTCATCTTAAAAACTGAAGCTGTTCTGGATTGCCAAAAAGGACTACAAAAAGTTCAGTGCTGTGGGGTACCCAAGAGTGAAGTCCCTTTGTACCTGGGCTGGGTTGGGCTACTTTGTGCTTTCAGTCTTGAAGCCATCAGCTAATTAGGGTGCTGGGAAAAATGGGAGCAAGTCTTTTAGTTCTTTTCTTTTGGTATCTGAAAAAGGATGCAAGAGAGTGGGAATCTGCCAATTCTTATGTGCACTGAAAAAATCCAGGGCTGGACTGCTGATGCTTTGGACATGGCAGGGGGGAGAAGCAGAGAGCCTGTCTGAATTTCTTTGCCGAACAGGTTAGCAGACAGAGGATTGTTGTTTGGGGAAATAAAATACCCACATCAAGCCAGAATGTATATAGCTGTTGAAATAATTTTGTATTTCTTCTTTTAAAGCGCTCTGGATGTCCTCAGTTTGACTAATGCCTGTTGTTTCTTGGATCAGAAGTGGTACTTTCCTAATGGGTTTGTGGATTTCCTGGATGTCAAAGACGCTAACACATTTAATGCTAAATTATAAATACATGAGGCTCTATGTTGTTCCATCCTGCCAGCTGCATGTACCCACAGAACAGGGCCCTGAGTGCTTACCTGATGGCCATGAGAGCTGTTACAGCAGCTGGGGCAGAGAAACGTGGTGCCGAAGTGGACAGAGAGAGACAGGTACCAGGATGGGCTGTCAGATCTCTTTTGGTGGGGGTTTGGGGTGATGTGGATTTTAAGGTGGGTTTCTTAGGGTTTTTTGAATGTTTGGGCTCTGGGGATTGGGTTTTGGTGGAGCAGCTCATATTTAATGGTGGAGCAGACAGTCAACAAAACTTTTGGTTTTAAACCTTCAAGTGTGTCGGTTGACTCTTCTGCTAAAAAAACCCCACAAACCTTTGTCTTGTGGCCTAAATAAAAGGCATGTCATTCTTTTCTGGAAAAAAAACCCAACTATTTCTTTTGTCCAAGGATATTATTGCAACCTCTGAAAGTAACTGTAGAGCTGTTCAGAGCAAGAATTTAAGATAAGAGTGTCTTATTTCTTAGAAACAAAAACACAATCTACAGATTCCTTGTAGCTGTAATGCTAGAACATCACGATAACTTTTATGTTTGATCCTTATTTTCAGTATTTTGAAGTTAATGTTTTTTTTCGCTGAGCTAGTTTGTTGTATCCTGTAAAAAAAAAAATCATTTTATTGTATTAAGTCATGCAAGAATTGAGGTTGTTTCTTATTGTAGGCTGTAATCGCATCAGTTCTTGGGATTTTTATACTTTATCTCAGTTTTATTCCTTATCCTACTGCAGATCGTGGTGTTAAGCTTTTCATTGCCGAGTTAGGGCAAGATGCATATTTTAATCTTTTTAAAAGTGAGCACCAGCTTTCTCAAGTGATCTTGACTTAAATGCCTGGAGCTTTTAACAAAACATACCAAATATCATGGTGCTTTTGATTTAAAAAAAGGGAGAGAGAGATTGTAAAATTGCAGATGGAAAGCATGGAAAATTCAGCTTCTGAAGTGCCTTTTTTTTTTTTTTTTTTTCCTGAGATAAGGATACTCTTTATTTTAGGGTTATTATGGGAACTGCCTGCTTTCAGCTCTCTCGAGCAATTGCTACCAAGTGAGCACTGTCTGGGTGAATGTCCCAGCACCATCAAGGATGGAGATTATTTGGACAAAGTGGATAATCTAGTTTTTCTTAGGGCTCAGACAGAGCAAACATTTATGCAGTACTAAAGCCAACAATCTGAAATGTTGTAAAAATCTCTTCAAGCTCAGAAGTAAGCACTGTGGGGCTTGATTTTCATTTTGACTCATTAAATGATACTGGCAACACTTCCTTTATCCATTACATCTTATGCATATAAAGCTGTAATTAGGATGGGAAGCCCAAGTATGGGCAACATTAGCTTCTTGGTGAAAATTACACTTGCTGATTTTTTTTTTTAATTTTTTTTTGTTGTTGTTGTTCTCTGCATATGTAACAGAAATTCATCCCTGGAGATGAAATGGGAGCATCAGGTTTGTGTAGGATGGAAATAATTTTAAATTTGAAATAAGAGCTGTTTTTCATAACAAAATCTTCTATTGTTCCAGTTGGAGAAGATTGGAGAATAAGCGCTGTTGGCTGGCTGTATTCCATTAAAACTTTAATTTTAAGCCTATTTATTTTTAAAGGAATAAACAAAATGGTAATGCTGACTGCAAACTTGATTTGTAATATGTGCACAGATTAATATAAAATGGATGCTATTCAGATGCACTAGCTGGGAGCAGCAGAGTTTGTTGTATTTGCCCATAAACCAGGGTGGTGAGGGATAGACACCCTGTGGCTTTGCCCTGCCCAGCAAGAGCAGTATTGCTGCCTCTGTCCCACCCTGCCATTGCCTGTTGGTGCTCCATCCCATCTCTTTTGTCCCAGGACCATGCAAAAACCTTAGATCTGATATGAAAAATCATCGATAAGGGATTTGTAATGATTTTTCATTATGTGTGCTTTCCTTCGCCTCGTCACGTATTTCTTGATTGTGCTGTGAAGTCTTCAGATGCACCTCTACCACCTCTTGCCTTAAAAGATATTGAGCGCTGGCACTCAAAATTATCTGCTGAATATTTTATGTGCGTCTTCCCTCCCTAAGTTCGCATCACTGGTTCACATTATGAAATCCTGAGCTGTGTCTTGCTTTGATCGGTGGAAAAGGGCAGTAATATATTCAACTCTTTATAGCTGAAATGGGATAACACTCCACACGTGTAAGATGTGTTTGCACAAAACGGTCCCAAGATTCTCATTGTTGGAAGTTAATGGTTTAGCAGAATGGAGCAATGGCATCTTGTGTTGCAAATAGAAACCAATAGATGTGACTTTATTTTTATATTCTGTGGTTATTTGCTGGCTTGGAATAATTGAATAGAACAGCAAGAATGGGGAACAAAAGGAAAAAATTGGGCCATTGCCCCCCTGCTCTCCAATTCCAGTGTTTTTGCTGGCCTGGGGAATTCTTTTACTATTCTGTTCCCCATTTCTTTTTTTAAGGCTGACCCTGAAATTGGAAAATTGAATTTGCATCAGTTAGAAATAAAATCTTTATTTCACTAAAAGATGCAGCACGTTTTCTTTTCAAAGGCGACATTTACCCTTCACCTTCAATTTTGTGAGCTAGTAAAAATTGCATTGTCTTCTCTAGCTGGTATGTATGACGAGGTGACATTTTTGTGGTTCAGATTTCTCTGTTATAATAATGTTTAGATTTGTAGCTCTGGCTTCCCATTTTTCTGTGTACTGTTGTGTGTGTAACAGGGTATAGCTTGTATTTTACAAATTTTGACACTTTGAAACTTGTCTTATACTTAGAGTTGAATATAAATGTTTTGCTCCAGGCCAGCTAAAAAAAAGTGATTCAAGAACAGTAGGGTTTTCTTGGGGAAATTTAAAATGACTGGGTTGGGTGCTGTTTGGTAGGTTTGCTTGTTATTTGGTTTAATTTGCCTTTTAAAATCCAGCTGTGTCTTTTCCTCTGGCCAAATGGCTCTTACTTGCTGTAGCTGCTTCTAAGACCTACTTGCATCTTCCACGCCTTGGCACTTGAGTGGGAGAGTGCAAATATTTCCTCTTAATGAAGTGTGCTGGGGAAAGGCTGAAGAGGAATTTGAATAATGCTATAAGAGCAGCTGAGTAGTTGGGATGTGACAGCAAGGTGTGTCAGCCAGGTCTAAGCCAATATGTAATACTCGTAATTTGCTATTTATTAGGCAGGTTACGTGCCTATTTCAGAACAGCTAATAAACATCTGTGACAGTTTTGTTCTGTAACTTTTACTATTTTAGAAAAAATGTGAGCAAATCTCTGGTTGAGGGTCAGCATGAGAGTCCCAACTGGAAACGGTTTGTTGCTTTACTAATTGTTGTTCTTACTTGACAGGATGTTTCGCCTTCGATTTCTTCCCGTTGCAGCAGGGCTGTCTGCTGTTTCGCGGCGTTACCATGGAATGTCATATCACCCGAGGACCAGGCGTAGGCTCATGGTGGCGGCTTTCATAGGGACGACTGCAGCGACAGCAAGTGCCAGATTCCTTTGGCAGAGGTAATAGTTATTTTTGGGTTTTTTTATTTTTTGCCTAAGACCTCATGCTGCTTTAGTCCTGTGGTAAGTACCTGCAGATGGGTTTAAGATCTGCGGGAGACTTTGTAAAGCATTATTGCTTGTTCTGCTTCTGCTGCATGGAAGAAATGGCTGTTGGTGACTCCCTGTGGAGCTTCTTTACTGCTGTGAGTAGTCAGAGATGTGAAAAAGCTCAGGGCTGAAGAGTTTTCCTCTGTAGCCGTCCTCACACAGGCTGTTTGCCCTTGGTGGGGTTTGCTGCCTGGCTTCCCCCTGTGTGGTGATGCTACATGGGTCTGTGGTGTTGTGTAAAGAGAAATTGGTTGAGTCAACCAAGTTGGGTGAAAGCATCCTGGTCTCAGCTTCTGGGAGGGCTGCTAGGACAGCATGCTTGGCCAGGGGATGTTGCTCTCATTTTCTTTGTGTTCTGCTGACTGCTTCATATATAAAACGTAGCAGGGGAGCAGAAGGGCACAGTCTGTCTTTTGGTGGTAAGTTAGCTGAACACAGGATTTATGTGGTTTTTAAGGGCCAGAGTCTGAGCACACCTACTCCTGGGCCGTGAGACTCAAAGCTTGTTTCCGTAACTGTGGGGAGAAAGGGGATATTTGTGCTTGCCTGAGGTGACCCTCACTGAACCCTGGGCCTGTGCCACGTTTGAAATAAATGAAGGACTCCCTTCTCTTCCCTCAAAATATGGGAGCAGTGTGGCACCAGCGGTGTTGGTCCAGCTTGTTGCTGCAATTAGAGTCTGAAAATAAAGTCTTTGCTGAAAACCTGTCTTATTTTCATCCCAATATTTAGGGGATGTATTGCTGGCTCTCTGCTCGCCTGTGTTGTGGCTAGAAGGCTCTAGTTTTAATGCAGTGGGAGGAAGATGATGGTAATTGTTCTGGCTGTGCCTAGAGCTGTCAAACCCTGGTATCTGCTAACAGGAGTTGCTCAGGCTGAGGAAGAACACTGTGATCCTGCACAGTGTTGTCTTCTGCTGCGTTTTGCTAATGATCTGCCCTTGTGTAGTGCCTCTTTATCCACAGGACCTGAATGCCTCTGTGGGGATGGCCAGGATAACACCCTTTTTCAGGCAGGGAAGGGAGCACATTTTTTTCCCACTTAAAACATCCTCAGCATGATCGCAAAGTAGGTAGGAGGACATCGTGTCCTATGTAAAGCTGTCCCAAAGACACTGAGTTAATATCTCACCTGCTTTTAAAAACAGCCAAATTGTCAGTTGTTAGCTTTGCCTTTTATCAGGAGGAAGGTGCTTCCTGCAGCAAAGAGCTGCTAATGGTATGTGGTGTGCTAGGTCGGGGGTGTTTTCAGGGAGTGATTTTTGGCTTCTGGAGTACTTGGCTGTTCCTTGGAGGCCCCTGTGCACTGTGGCCAGGCTTGACCTTGCTCTGCTGAGAGCACTGATAGAAATCAGATAAAGGAGAGGGACAGCCTCTTTGGAGTAGCATGGTCTGTGATCTCCCTAGTCCTCATCAATCTGGAGAGACTGACTTGCTGTTACTATTTGGGTTTTTTCTTTCCTTGCTCTGTCTCCTTTGTCTTACATAAATTTGTGAAGCGCTACATAGAATTGTACAGACTTGGAAGTATTCTTTTCCTATATGAACGATGTAATAAATCCACGATGTCAATAACTGTAAAATAGAAGTACATCCAGGCTTATGATATTAATTAAATTAATTACTTGCCATACAGCTGTTGAATGAGAGGAACAAAACTGGTATGTGTGGTGTAGAGAATACTTCATACTGACACCTGTAGAAGTTTTCAACAGTCTGTCAAATAGGCATTTTAACACCGTGTTTAAATGAGTGATGAGGAACTGCAAATTTCCTTTGTCTTTCACAAAATATAAACTGGGTGATTAGTAGAGTTTAAGCATAGGTGAATACAAAACATTTGTGATGACTTCTTGGGTTATTCAGGTAGTTACATCCTGAGTTATTACAGTAAGTAGCAGTAAGTATAATGAATTAGTTACAAAACGTAAACATGTAATACATGTAGCCAGGACACAGGGATCAAATAAGCCAAGTGTCACTGAAAAAGTAATTTATAGACTACAGAGAGAAATGTCCATGTGCGTCTGAGTATTTACACTTAGTAGTAAGCAATTTTGATATATTAAATGTTGCAGTGGTATTTAAATGGGAAGCAGGTTAGGGAGATCCTTTGTGTAACCAGTTCTGTTGGTGCAGTTAGTCTGTTTTAGGGATGACCTACAATGCTTGTTTACCTTTGGTTAGTGAAGCAACCATGCTTTTGTTGTGCTGTGAAACTCCTGTGCCACACAGTCTCTGAGGGGTCCAGCAGGTCCTAAGTGTGGCTCTCTTAGCATTGCAGAGAATTGCTGTCCCTTCAATGGCAGATGACTCTAATGAGGAACGTGTGCCTGCTAATATTCTGGTGGGACACTTCATTGCCCTTTGAGTAGGGAATGCAGTAATGGATGCTCTTCTGCAGGCTGTCAGTGAAGTTTTCTTTTAAGATGAGGGATGCCTTCCTCTTTGTTTTCTTAGAATTATTTTTCTCTACAGTTAAGGCATTAAGAATGTAATAGGCTGAATCAAGAAGCAGTTGAAAATCTTATGCTTCTTGGGTGAGGTAAGTAGATGATGCAGTGTTAGAGTAAGAGCAGTAATAAAAGGAAAAAAAAAAATCTGACTTGTATTTCTTTTTTATTATCTGCATAAAGCCTTGTGTAAATGCCCCAATTCTTCTCTACTGCCATGTGGGGAGCAGTGCTGCATCTCTCATCAGTACTTAACACCCCCCCCCCAAACTTTCCATTTCAAAACAGATTGCTTATACTTCTGATGATGGTGAACACTGCTAAAAGGGATTAATATGGTGGTGCCTGTATGTGAACTTACCTTTTCCACTACTTAGCATAAAGAAAGACAGGACTTCTCAGGTGGTTTCTGCCTGTCACGTGCAGTCTGAAAGCAGTGTATTTCAGATTAATTCTGTACAATATGCTTTGAACAGCAGCAGAAGCCAGTGCTGGGATAAGGAAGCCCACACAAAGATAGAGGAGAAGTCAAGGATTGAAAAGATATATATAAAAAAACTCCAGCGATTGTATGATGCAAGATAGGAAAGATTTACTTTGTGTCTTCCTAAGATGGGAGGTGGGATCTTCATGTTTGATCTGCATCTGCGTGTAGCCTTCTGCGTAGCCATCTGTTGCAGGCGAGTGTTGGTCTTCTTGCCTTCGCTGTCTTCCGGGAGTTCCTGCTGCCTGTTTTTGGTGGAATATATCTCATCTAAGTAATTAGATGACAGGAGTAGCTAATGCTGCTCTGTTCTGCTGTGGTGAAGAATACTTCAGGAATGCAAATAACTGAGCTTAGAAGACTAATGAAGTTTACCCTTTCTAAGCAATGACTTAAACTCTGAGGATTTCCAGCTGGCAACAGAAGCAATTAAGTATCTGGGCATTGGTATAATGAACTAAATTAATTAATTGAAGTAAATCTTGGCACAGTCATTGGCTAATCTAAATGAGGCATTAATGTATGAGAAGTACTGAACATCACAGTTTGCAGCAAGCTTAATGTTTATAAAAAATATTCTGTTACTGATAGTCATGTAAAACTTGTATTCTGTATTTGTAGTTGCAAATATCCATTTGGAGTGTTATTAAATGGCCACGGATATGTTCTGTATGTCACAAACCTTCCTGGCTGAATCTGTGGGCAGTGGGCGTCTGAAAGGACTTAAATCGGTGTTTTGGTGCTGAAGCTTGTCACTCAATCAGCCTAGTATTGAATGAAACAAGGGAGCGAATGTACCTTTGGGGAGCACAGAAGGACCTCTGTAAGCAGAGTCTTACCAGTGCTCTTCCTGATTGACCGGAAGTATGTAGTTATGCTTAATTTATTATTCTTCTGCAAGTGTATTAGCAATAAGAATAAAGGCAAGACGTCTGTGTTGCTCTGGAAGTTGCTTAACAACAAGATCCTTTGCTTACCAGCGTGTTTGTGTCCAATGTGGTACCCAGTCTTATTTTGCTGCATCCCCTTGGCCTTATTCTGTGCTCTTACCCCTTTTGCCCCATCCTGTGTGTAAGTTGAAGCAATTAAGCTTGAGACAGCCATCTCCCAGCCCTGGTGGTATATTCTCATTCTGTTACAAGCTCTTCTTTTTCAGGCTCCACTCCTCACCAGCAAGCTGAGCTGTTTAGGTGCTGGCTGCCAGTTCTGCAGATTTCATTCCCTCTTTACCATTTCTTCCTCTCTTCCTCCACCCTTTTGTCCTTTGGCCATCCTGTATCAAGTGCCCAATTGCTTTACTGGAAGATCCTCTTTAGGAAAGACCCTTTGTCCTCCTTGCTCTGCTGACTTTCACGGCTTTTTGTTTGGCTTTTCTCCATCGGTGCTTCTGGAATTAATTTTGAAGCCTAGATCAGCCCTTAGCTAGCTCTGTTTAAGAGTGCATTGCTTTTTTGCATCAGTGTCTTAGGGGCTTTAGAGTAGTTTGCTTAGAATACGTTTTTAATGGCAGAATTGCTGGAAACACCTTATGCCAGCTGAAACTGAGACTTTAAAAATCTTTCTTCTAGTAAAACAAAGGAAACCACATAAATCATGGTCAAGAGGGGAGAAACCTGTGTTATAGCTATAGATATGTCAGGTACTACTTAACCTGATGTAGGAGAGGAAAGATGAAAAAATGTAGGTTTTTTTTTTTTATTTTGAGAGCTCTGCTCCATTTTTTTAATTCTTTGAGAGAGGTGGCAGACTGAAGAGACTATCCTTGGGATTGCTGTGCTGAGGGTTTTCTCCTAAGGCTTGAAGACACATTGATCTATGCGTGGTGTCTTGGAAGAGCACTGTGTCCTTTCAGGTGGCTTTTGGCTTCATATTATTTTTACCCATGAGCATCAGAGGAAGGAAAGAATCTGATGCCAGGGAATGAGCCAAAGTCAAAACTGGAGTCAATTAGGAAAACCTCTCAACTGCCCTGGG